TATATATATACACACACATAAACCTGCATCAAATTAATAGCATTTCCTATTTTCCTCAGGACGTTCAATGCCTCGAATACACCTCAACCAAATACCACCACCGCACCAAATGATCAGCAACCCAAACCCACCTCAAAAGACTGTTTCTAATTTCAGGAGAACATTCAATTCCTAAAAAAACACACCAAACGAATACCCACGCAAAATAACAAAATCAAAACGACTTTCTCTATTTGCAGGAGAATATTCAGTTCCTCCTACATGTATATACATCAAACGAGTACCCACGCAAAATAACAACATCAAAACGACTGTCTCTATTTTCAGGAGGACATTCGATTTCTTCAATACAACACAACTGATTCAGTTCGTAAGGCAGTGTTTACAGTGACCAAAGAGGACGAATACACCAAGACACACCTTGCCCTTGAGAGCCTGTTAACGTCTACGTTCACCGCACAGGTTTTTCTTTCTCTTTTTCTCAGTGTTCTACCTTTAGAGTGTGTACAAATACGAGTATTATATCATATTCATATACTAGCGAGCAAAATAAACGCGAAAAACTACTTTGGCCAAATTAAATAACCATTAATTGTGGAAGACAGATGTTTATACCATCGATAGCTGGTTATATCCTCTTTTGAAATAAAAGGTCGCCTCTCTTGCTTGTCACTAGAGTTATTGCCCCTTAACTGAAGCATGGAAAAAGCTACATGGTGCCTTCGAAACACGGTCTAAATGAGTGGGGGAAAAGGGGGAAAAGTATTCACCCAAGCTCGGCTATAAAAGCCGTGGTAAAAAAAATCAGTTCGGTCGATTGTCTTATACAGGTTGACGTTAGAGCAAGTTTGATTTTAGTCATAATATTTCCACTCCACAGGGCAAGTCCCGGAAGGAGGCGGCGAGGATCGCCGTTATCCAGACAGACGGGAACTCTGATGACAGGTCACTCACCTTGAAGGCGGCTGGCAGGCTGAGGGATGCTGGAGTCACTGTGTTTGCAATAGGTAAGTCAATGGCTTCTTGTGGTGTTGGGTGTGTGAGCGCGTGCGCATGTGTGT